GTGTCCCGTGGGTGCTCCACTATAGGTGTCGGGCTTGTCCCGGCGCCGCAGATCGGAGAACTTTTGTAGCCGTACGTAGTCTGCCGGACCGCGCATGCACGAAGCGCGGCTCGTGCTCTTTCGCGCCGTTTGTGTTCGCGCGGTCCGGCTCCCGCCAGTTCCTCCTGATCCTCTTGGCCTGAAAGGCAAAATGATACTTCCGAAGAGGGGAGGAGGGCGGGTCGTGGAGCACCCACGGGACACGCATCTCGAAGAATCATCGTTACTGCACAAGGTGAGTAACTTCTTTTTTCATTGGGCTGCCTTTTTGAGTCTCAAGGTCATTCCCAAATAGGAGTATTGCGAGCCACTCAATGTTTCATCAGGCAGGCATCTTTGGTTATAAAATTTATCTTGATATTTGGATACTTGCAGTGAATTGCTTACTGTCCTCTAACAATGGTGTGTGGGTAAATAGCACTTATGTTTGAAGTAATTTCGTGTTCTGTAATTTCAGCACCTCTATGATAAGGTTAAAAACATTTCTTTGCCTTAAAGATGACAGGCCGCAAAGGAAGAGTTGTAAGCAATGATGATGGCAGCGTATCGTATGAGTCAAGATCTGAACTTGACGTGCCTGTTGAAATTCTAAATATCACAGAAAAGCAGAGATTCATGGATGGAGACAAGGTAAACTACTATGTAACTTCAAAAATTTTTTTGTTTTGAGTAATTATAGTAGATCTATCCACACTCAGTAGATACTGAACTACAAAATTGCAGTTGCAAACAAACAGTCTTAGGAGCACAGTATAATGAACCACAGCATCATATACTCCATTTTGCTCCTAAAAAGCTCTAGCAAATACATGAGTTTTATGGAATGCCTTGAAAGTCAACAGGCTTTTTCAGCTGGAAATGGGAATTTAAACATTAGTTTTAATAAGCCCTTTCTATTTAAAGGGGGTGAATCAAATTAAAGCTGACACTTCTTTAAAAAAAAAAATCTTCTGATATAGCAGTAATTTAAAAAAAAAAAATCCAAGGCTCTTCTGCTCCCCTGATGTGTTGATAAATGTATCATCTGGAATACTAGGCAATACTTGACATCTCCATCTCAAAAAAACGGTTTTACAAGGAGGTATACAGTAGGGATATAAGCAACCAGTTGAGTGACTACTTGCTCTCCCCACTGCCTCTGTATCAGATGCAGCAAAGGGGGGTGGGGTAGGGGGAGCTGGCTTAAAAGCCTCTCTTCCCCCTTCCCCCTTTTCCCCTCCCCCCCCAGCACTGGGGAACTACCCCTGCTGCGGCTCTGCATGTTAAATGTAGTAAGAGCCGGGCTGCCTGTGCACCCAGCTCCTACTGCATTTAAACTACAGAGCTGCAGCGGAGGTAGCTCCTGGACCTAGCATGAGCTGGGACAGAGCGCCTCCCCTTATCGACTAATTGTGTAGCTGATATAAATTGTATTGACTACATGATTAGCCAATTACCTGCTCCCTTAGTATGCAGGAAAGGTCAATGAGTGACTTGTCATGGGAAAACCTCATGAAGAAAGGCTGAATAGGTTTTGAAAAATTTGGGGTTATATACCTTAGAAAGGAAGACTGATAAAAGCTATAAATGTAAAATAATGGTATGGAGAAGATAAAGGGTTCTGTCCTTGTTTTTTACTGTGAAACAAGGAGACATTTGGTGAAATGTGGCGAATTATTAGGGAAATACTACTTTTTTACACAAAATGTAATTTTGCTTGAAATTCATTCCCATAGGATGATAGTTGAAACAAACGTTCAAATAAAGGATTGGATAGTTCTATGGATAAAAAGACTATCTAGAATTAGATGCTTTGGAAAGGATATTCAAACTTCTATCTCCCTACTGTGACGTTTCTTGTACCTTCCTCTGAACTATATGGTGTTGCCTACTGTCAAAGAACTAGGTAGACCACAAGTCTGAACTATAGCAATTTCTATGTTCTGTACTTCTGGAAGAGTCCTGGGAGCAATATCATTAGATGTGCTTGGGCCTATCCCACCTCCCTTTTCTCTCCCAACTATTTTCCTGTTCTGTTCAGTTTTTCTGGTAATAGTGGCAGTAACCCTCTTGGAGAGCCTGTGAAGCATGAGTGATGTAGCTGACCTGCAACTAAACAGGGAAACAAAGTTATAGGGCTAGCTCAGGGGTGGGCAAAAGCCTCTCAGTGGGCTGGATCCAACCAACCTAGGGCTTGGATCTGGCCCATGAGGCAGTTTCGTGCCCCACCCCCTAGCTCATTGCAAGCCCTTCTAATTGCTTCTATCTCAAGGGCTCAGAGCGTCTTTGCCACACCTTGCCTAGCAGCTGCAGGGAAGGCCCTTTCCTGTTCCCCCGGCTGCTAGGCAACGTGTTGCCTAGCAGCCCCGGGGAAAGGCGCCAGCCCTTTCAATAGACACTGCTGAAAGGGCTCGCAGCTCCCCGTGCCTCTAGCGCACTGCCGGACTGCGAGCCCTCTCAGCTGTGTCTATTCAAAGGGCTCGTGCCTTCCCCAGACACGTTGCCTAGCAGCCGCGGGGAACAGGAGAGCCCTTTAAATAGAAACAGCCCAACAGGATCCTGCGTCTCCGGCAGTGCGCTAGAGGCGCGGGGAGCTGCGAGCCCTCTCAGCTGTGTCTATTCAAAGGGCTCGTGTTCCCCGGCTGCTAGGCAGCGGGTTGCCTGACAGGCACAGGGAAGGCGCCAGCCCTTTACACAAAAGCACTGAAAAGGGCTCGCAGCTCCCCCGGCCTCTAATGAGTTGTTAGGAAGCCAGAGACTCGAGCCCTTTCAACTGCTTCTATTGAAAGGGCTCGCCTGCTGGGGGCTGCATTGCCTGGCAGTCACCCGCAGGCGCAAGCCCTGGAAACGGAAGCAATTGAAAGGGCTCGCGGCTCTGCCCCACTGGCCGTTGCCTGGGAACCATGTCCACTCCGCGGGTCGGATACTGCCCACCACTGATGCAACTAGTGGTGGACTGTCCGGGTGAATACCAGACACCTGGCAACCTTATCTCTGATAGACCTCTTGGTCCCTAGCCTTTGCAAAACAAGCTGTTACTTGGCAGAAGCCAAGGAGATAAGATCTTCCTATTTAATAACTCAGCCATGTCTTTTGAGTCGCTTCAAAACGTTTAATTGGAGCTGTCTAATATGGAGCCACTGTCTTGCCATCCTGCCTGCTTTTCCAACCAGCTAGTAAACTAAATCAATATATTCATACAGTAAACATTCTAAGTAACTTATCAATATTGTATGAGACCATTAGAGCTGCTCCACAGTCCCTATACGCACAGTTGTGAAATGTCCACTGACCATGTTTTCTATCTGAAAGTTTCGCCACATTCAAGTGAGTTGTAACAAAATTGCAAAAGCAAAGGTAAGTTACAAGTTGCATGTAAACATTTATTTCAATCCTCCCCGAGGGAGTTACTGGGAAAGTAAAGTGATACCCTTTCAGAAGGGGAAGGGTGTTGTGTGCCTCTGTGGTATTTAGCCTAAACTCAAGAATGTTAAAGCTGATTTCCTCTTCCCCCACTCCCCCAAGTGATAAGTACTAAAGCAGATAGCAATAGGGAATTCCAAAATCAGCTGTATTTTTGTTCCCACAGGTTTGGTCTCAAATTCACTGCTAACTTTCAACTTTTTCTTCCCTTTCAGAAGGGGAAGGGTGTTGTGTGCCTCTGTGGTATTTAGCCTAAACTCAAGAATGTTAAAGCTGATTTCCTCTTCCCCCACTCCCCCAAGTGATAAGTACTAAAGCAGATAGCAATAGGGAATTCCAAAATCAGCTGTATTTTTGTTCCCACAGGTTTGGTCTCAAATTCACTGCTAACTTTCAACTTTTTCTTCTTTATATAAGAACATTGCGATCATCTCAGAAGCTGCCAGCTCAGGTATTTCATTACAAGCAGACCGTAGAGCTAAAAATCAGAGGCGGAGAGTGCACATGACTTTGGAGTTACCATGGAGTGCAGATAGAGCAATTCAGCAGTTTGGTGAGTAACTGCTGTATTTTGATTTATCAAATTCAGAAATAATTGTAATCCACTGGGCATGTCCATGGTTGGTTTTGGTGTAATATGGAGTGTTCTGTTCATTGGCCCTGTGACTTTCTTTTCTAGTGAATAAACATGGTGTATACAGAGATTTATAAATGCTAGAATTAGTTGTTGTATGTACTGTGCATCTTCGTGAGGTAATCAAAGCGAGTGTTGCATTTCATAATGTTCACATGCACATAGTTTTACAGTAGTATTTTCATCAGAATCAACAACTTTCTAAATGTTTGCTAGTGGAGCAGCAGAATTGCTAGGTTTAGTTGTATTTAAGCTCTACCCCCTGCTAGTCCCATAGTATGGCCAACTGTCTATGCCCACCAGTAGAATTTTTACCTGTAGGCAAGTGTAAAAAGTTTAAGTAAAATTGGTAGTATACCTTGCTTCATAGTATGTGCATCTTCAAACATTCCCCCTTTGGCATAGGAGTTGTTTGTTTCTCTTTACAAGAGTAATCTAAAACTGATCTATAAATAGGATGTTTTTCTTCTCTCTCTCTCTCTCTCTTCCCCCCCCCCCCCCCCCCCACACCCGCACCCAGAACGCTCAAGTGTGTGCGTGGTGCAAGTTCAAGGTTTCCCAATTGCTTGTTTACGATTCTGAAGGAGACTTAGTTTTACTTTCCCATCAAATGTTCTGGGTAGCTCCTGGTTGAGATGTAACATTTTTCCCCCCACTTTTAAATACACAGGAAGAACTCACAGGTCAAACCAAGTTACTGCACCAGAATATGTGTTTCTAATTTCCGAATTGGCAGGAGAGCAAAGATTTGCGTCAATAGTTGCCAAAAGACTAGAGAGCTTGGTAAGACTGTTACATATAACTCAAATAGTTAAAGCAGCATACGTAGCTTATTTTTCAGTACAGAGATCTCTTGTATGTTTTAATTACAAAGGTGTTGTCTTGACAGGGAGCTCTCACTCATGGTGACAGAAGAGCAACAGAAACTAGAGACCTTAGCAGGTTCAACTTTGACAACAAGGTGACCTCTCCTTAGCGGGGATTGTGTGTGGGGTTTTTTTTGTTTGTTTGTTTGGGTTTTTTTGGGGGTTTTTTTTAAACTAACTAAAAACTGCTTACCACAATATTTGTACCGGGCAAAATGGAAAGCTACCAGTTCCTGTGGAGGAATCCTTTCTTACTCTTCCTTTCTGAACTGTTGTATTTTGCATCTTTCTCTGCCTGCTGTTTGGGGAGGGAATGCTGTACTTTTTTACAGCACATATAGATGACTTAACCTACTGGGTAAAGTTCCATGTTTTAACCTTATGCAGTTTTGCTGTCTTTTGGTCAGTATGTGGAGCGTGCGTCTTTAACCTTGGGAAATGAGCATTTTTAAGGAGAAATTAACAGACTGAACTGTTAAAATGAAAAATGCATCAGTATTTCCCCTTTCTTTGCATTCTCTAATGTAATCGTGAATGGAAAAACCTAAATGCAGGCAAAGTTGAAAAATAGTTCTTTAACCATGGTGTATACCAGCATGCATACTATGATTTTGAGGCTTAAACCCACATGGAAAATTTGTATAGTTCTGTAACTTAATTTTTTCTCAACAGTATGGCAGAAATGCTTTGGAGATAGTTATGAAATCCATGGTGAATCTAAATTCACAAATGGTGTCTCCACCTGCTGACTATCCTGGAGAATTTTTTAAAGGTAACTGTAGTTTACTGTTTCCTAATCCCTAGTTTTCGGTCATACTGTCCCAAACACTCACTCCTGTTTTTTTTTTTCTAAATGGTAGCAAGTTAGGTTTAAATGTAAAGAATTATTCTTGATATCCAGTGGTTTAATTATGGTCTTATTAACAGTACAATTCTTCTAACTTCTTTAAATTTGGAAATTGTATGTACTAGTTCTTGACCCCAATGTGAGCTCTATTCTCACATGATAAATACAGCTGAATAGAATTCCCATAAAATGTTTAAGTGCCCATATATGGTAATTGATTGCATAGGGAAAATTGGAGTTAAACCCAATTTAAAGAGTTTTTTCCTGTAAAGGGTATCTGTTTCAGGGAATGCTGCAGTCTTGTCTGACTGGCTGTTTAACCACAGGACTACCAGTAACTGTTAAACTTTGCCTGATTGTTACCATTTTTCAAAACCTTATTTTACTATTCTGTTGATCAAAAATGTAGCAATATTTCAACTGGAACAGAAGCTAAGGCTTTGTATCATGACGACTTAGCATAAAGATCAGTTGTGAATTTTATTTTATATAATATGGGGAGGTCAAAGCTTTGGAATTGGATTTTGGGGACAGGAGTGGGGTTATCTGCTGCTCCAGAGGTAACACAAATATTGCTTTCCTAGCTGTTTTCATTTTCTTGGCAATGATATGCTTTATTTAGATGGCAGGACAGAAGTGGCTTCAGTCCTTGTAATTTTTTCTTCCCTTAGATGTTCGGCAAGGATTAATAGGTGTGGGCCTAATAAATGTAGAAGACCGATCAGGAATACTGACACTCGATAAAGGTATTGTTTTGGGTATATCTGTAGAATGCCAGTAACTGATACATAATTTATTGTCAAATCAGAAATCGCTTTTGTGATTTATATAACCACAGACCTGGCAGTGAGATTTGTGGGCAAAAATGGCACCTGAAATTTTTCATTCATTTAAGTCTAGATTTGAAGTTAACTCAAATGTATGCTTTATTGCAAAAATGCATGCTTAGCTTTGATCCTTTGAGAAGTTTGGTTCTAGTTAATTTTTTAAAACATTTTAATTCTTATTTAGGATTTCACTTGCATCAGTATTCTTTCCTAAACTGTGTGCTTTACACATCATATGTGATTCTTTTTAGATTACAACAATATAGGAAAATTCTTGAATAGAATTCTGGGTATGGAGGTGCATCAGCAGAATGCTTTATTCCAGTATTTCTCTGATACGTTAAATGCAGTTATACAAAATGCTAAGAAGAATGGAAGATATGACATGGGTATTTTAGGTAGGTTAATTTTTTTTTTATGCTCCTTAATCTGCTTCTCTTACATAAACTCTTCTGTTTGTTCCTGGGTTTTTTTTTTTTGTTGTTTTTTTTGTTTTTAAGATCTGGGTTCTGGGGATGAGAAGGTCAGAAAGGCAGATGCGAAGAAGTTCTTAACTCCAGGATATTCTACCTCTGGCCATGTAGAATTATACACAGTAAGTTAATTGCATGTTTTTTCAAACTGCCATGCCTTTAGTTTTCCTTGAAAATCCTTTAATTTGAAACGTCTGTTCTTAATTTGAGACTTAGCATTCCACTATGGAGGTTTGTAAACATATTACTGAAAGAATAAAGTTCCTTGTCTTGTAAAAAGCACTGTTAATGGTTTTGATTTAATTGTTTTATGTAATCTCAATAATTGTTCCAAAATGTGATGTTTATGCACCCTTCTGTTAATGTCCCTACTAGATCAGTGTAGAAAGAGGAATGTCTTGGGAAGAAGCAACTAAGATTTGGACTGAGCAAACTGGACCAGATGATGGATTTTATTTATCTTCACAAGTGAGAATCTATCATCAAAATGTTCTTTTCATATTTCTCAGATGCATTTTTAATCAAACAGAACAATTTTAGGGCTTCCCCAATAACTTAATTTATTTCACATTAAATGTATAAAGTGAATGTTGAAGTTTAAACAAATTTATGTTCAATCCAATATAATCACTTGTTTATCAGTTTTGCAAAATGCTTTCACATTTTTATAAATGGACAACTTCATTTTAAGAATGATTTTGTGGTTTATGTAACTTTCTAATCAAGGGTTGACAACTTAACACTAACTCTTTAAGATGAAAGTGGTGTATAAGCTCTCACTAGGGTGTGGATTATGGTGATCATAACACACCTCTTGGAAGGCAGTGCACTACCTTTCACCTTGGGTCAAACTACCGTTAAGGCATGTCATTACTACACCATAATACACACCCTGTTGTGTCATATTGATTCTCTTTACTCTTTTTAGGTGTGAACCAATATGTGTATAGAAAACATTGTAATACAGGTGGACAGTCAAAGTGTACTTGGTGAAATGAATCCTTATTAGAATCTGGATAGCCATTCAACACATCTGCTTCTGTTTGCACTTACTGAATGCGTGATTATTTAGAAAAGACACTGTCCATGTTTAAACTTGTAAAATATTTTTTCCAGATGAGAAATAATAAGAAAACTGCCATCTTGGTAAAGGAAGTGAATCCCAAAAAGAAGCTTTTCTTAGTATACAGACCAAACACTGGGAAACAACTCAAATTGGAAATGTATACAGACATGAAAAAGAAATATAAGAAGGTAATGTTTTAAATCAATTTACTTAAAGTAGTTGCTTTGTGGTAAAAGAAGGTGCAGGATTTTTCAAAACCCATGTCTCTCCACACACAGTATGGTGGCAAGTTAAAGAAATACTTAGCTAATGTTTATGCAGTAAACTTCATCTAGTACAAGCCTATAGTTACTTTTATCCAAAGAGCTCTCTAGGGCTTTGCAAACCTGCCTAACCAAATAGTGCTCTTCATCTGTAAAAACTTAAGAAAACATCAGTCATTCCATTAAGACTTTTTTTCCATAACCTAGCACAGTGGCCAGACCCGCCCCCTGTCCCACGAGTACCCTGCCTCAGCATCCCCAGCACAGTTGGGGCCACATTAGTGAGGCTTGGGGGGGGGGTGTTTTGCATCTCACTTGTGTGACACCCGACTGACTTTTCTGTGGGTCAGTGACCCCTGACTTAAAAAAGGTTCCCTGCCCTTCTCAGAAATAAAGACAACACTGAAGCAGTTTGTGTTGACGTAATATTTTATTTAAAAATTAAGCTTGGCTGCCAAGCCCCCATCTGGCTGCAGCATCATAACACTCCTGCACCCCCCCAGACCCCAATCCTGAGCCTATCATACACTGGAACCCCCTGTCCTGAGCGCCTCACATCCCCAAACTCCTGCACCCCCACATCCCCAGTCTTCTGTCACAACACTCCTGCACCATCCACACACTGCAAATCTGTATCCTGAGCCCATCATACTCCCAGCCTCCCTGCCCTGAGCCCCTCCTGTACCCCAGCCCAAACTCCTGCACCCTCACAGCCACAAGCCTGCGGCTTTCTTCGCACCCCCCCCCCCC